TAGGCCCTGGGCATAAGGGCCCTGGCTTAGTCAGCTTTATCAGCATGAGGAAAATGTCATGAGGCAATGACATGTGCAAAGAAAGAAGTTGAGGATGATGACAGAACCATGAAGTCAACCAGTACACCACGAGTAACTATGTTTTAGAAACACGCTACCACACGGACTATGCCAAGTGAATCTCCATTGTTTCTGTTTGATCAGACACAGCTACCTGGAGGTGTTGGAATTCTAGGAGGTTCAGCTTCTCTTCTCCAGAATCACATATCCAATAGTCCACCCAGTCTTTCTACATGAAAAGCCTTGGATATATAAACTACCTGACAGATGCTAAACTGGATTTGTGAGATTCTCTTCCAATGTTTTCATCCTAGGATCTGGGTCTTTGTTCACCTGAAGCAGGCCTGCCATTCTTGATACCAGCCTCTTCCTCATTTCTACATCTGTTCATCACCAGATCCCTTCCTTTTCCTTTCTTCAGTTCTTCAGATTATAGTCACTTCTCTGAACAGACCACAGAGTTTAAGAATACAGGCTCTGGAGATGGTCCATGCAGATTTGAACACAGAATACTCCCCTTGCCAGCAATTTACTTAACTCCTCTGCACTTGATTTCCTTACAAATTAGAGAAAATAATACTGACTTCAGAGAATTCTGAGAAGCCAATAAACTAATATATATGTATGTTGTGCATTCGAAAGTACCCCTGTTATCACACTATCATCCTCATAGACTTACTCATTGTCATTACCATCATCACCACTTCCATAACCACCATCCCTATCATCTTCACCATCGTAGGCACAACCACTATTATCACCATCACCACCTCCATCACCATCACATGGTTACAGTCCTAATACAAGCTACTATCATCTCTCATGTGTATCACTGCATAGTCAACCTAACATCTCCCCACATCCATCCTTGTCTTCCTCTAATAGATTTTTCCATTATGTGACCCAACTAATCTTGGAAAAACATAGTCACATGTTTTTAATTAATGTCAGAGTGATTTCTCAGAAGAGATAAGAAAAAAGCCAAGTTGTTGGGCCTGGCACTGCAGCCTAGTAGCTAGAGTCCTCACCTTGCACGCACCAGGATCCCACATGGGTGCTGGTTCTAATCCTGGTGGCCCTGCTTCCTATCCAGTTCCCTATTTGTGGCCTGGGAAGGCAGTTGAGGATGTCCCAAGGCGTTGAGACCCTGCACGCTTGTGGGAGACTGGGGTTGGGGAGGCCTCCAGGCTCCTGGTTTTGGATCAGCACAGCTCTGGCCATTGTGTTCGCTTGGGGGGTGGATCAGTGAATGGAGGATCTTCCTGTCTGTCTCTCCTCCTCTCTGTATATCTGACTTTCCAATAAAAATTTAAAAATAAATCTTTAAGAAAACAGCTGTTCATAGGTTTAAATAGCCAGCCTTGGACAACTATGAACCTTAGCCTTGCCATGATGTTTCCTGCCTCAGGACCTTTCTATCTGCTGTGCCTTCTTCTGGTAACACTGTTCATCCTACTTTCATCCTCTTTCATCCCTCCATGGTGAACATCTCTCTAAAATGTTAAATTGTACTCACTGTTGAACCTGCTACACAATAGCTCTATCTCCCCACTGAAATTTCCCAGCTAAAGATGATATCTGGTGCCTATTGCTGAAAGCAGTGAACCTATTTCTGGTCTTGACCTTTCTGAGCATCTAATACTGCTAACCAGTGGTTAGCTGTGACACTGGTTACCTCCCTCTGACTTTAGTTTCCTTGAGTCTGTTCTCTTGCTTCTTTTCATCTTTCTTTGATTCTTGTTTTTTCATCATTTACCCCCCTTTTTCTACCAATTATTTAGGCGTTACCTCCCCACAAGTTTCTTCACTGAAGCTCTTGTTCTCTTACCCTACTTACTGTCTGGGGGTGATCTTGCCTATCCACATCACATTTACTGCATGATGATGCCCAAGTGCTTGTCTAGGTCCTTCTCCCTTTTGAACTCCAGACCCTCATTCCTCCATAGGCGTGTTTTAGAAACCCTTGAAACACAGCACCTGTAAAGCTGGAATCTCAGTGGACCCCTCCTTTCTCTGTCCCTATCTTAATGAATGAATCAATGGTGATAGCATCCATTCAGCAAAAGCAAAAGCTTGAGTCATCCTTGTCTTTTTTTTTTTTTTTTGCCTCCCCATGGCAGGTTAATCATCAAATTCGGTTGATTCTGCCTCTTTAGATGCACTTGGGTCTGTTCCCAATGCCATCATTTCCCTTGTGCAAGGTAGCCATGGCTTCCTAATTCATCTCTCATTCATTAGTCTTTCCTCCTTTTATTCCTTTTTTTTTTTTTTTTTTGCACTTTGGTCAGGGTTGGGGAGGAAAACTTTCCTAAGAGATTTTCCAGAGACTTAAAGGACCACCTTTTCAAAGAACAGTGTCCTTCAGCAAATCAGAAATGGCTTACTTCAGAAAATGTCACCCTGATAGTCATTTCTTAGCTTATTATCAGGTATATGAACCTATTGTAAAATTTTGAGAACTTTTATTGCAAATTGTCTAGCCAGAGCTGGTGTTCAGTGTAACAGTTAAGCTGCTGCTTGAGATACTTGTCTCCCATACCAGAGTTCTTGTGTTCAAGTCCTAGCTCCTATTCCTGACTTCTTGCTAAAGTGTCCCCTGGGAGGCAGCGGCTGATAGCTTATTATAGTTGAGTCCTCACCAAGCATAAGGAAGACAAAAATTGAGTCTTTAGTTGCTGGTTTCCACCTAGCCCAGCACTGGTTGTTGTAGGCATCTGACAAGTAAATCAGGGTATGGGAGACTGCACTGTTTCTCTCTCTGTGTTTGCCTCTCTCTCTCTTTCAAATAACAAAATAAGCTTTTCTCAAACATTTTCAATCATAATATCACATCTTAATATACTGGCAAACATTGTATTATCCATGTGAAAAAAGACAGATACATGACTAAAAACCAAAGGAAGACAATGTAAACTGTTATGGTTAGAGACTGTTAAAATTCTTCAGCATGATAGTGACTTGATATACATTCAATAGCCTCCAGTTGGTGAGACCCTACTTTGCTCTAGATGCTTCTTATCTAGCATCTGTAACCCTTACAAGTCTGCAAGTGGGCATGAGGCCCAAGTGAGGAGGAGACTGAAACCCAGATCAGTTCAGCAATAGGTTCAATGCCATATAAGCCATAAGAGCCAAGCAACATGTGGTTGGTTGTCCATGGAGCTTAAAAGTCATAGCTCTAAAAAATCAGGTGATATTTTGCCTTCAGGAGACACTGAAATCAGGAAATATCCTAGAAGGAAGTTTCTTCTTTGTTCTCTGCCTCTGTTACCATGACCCTCTAGATATACTTCAAGTCTTAGTAGTCATTCTTTTTAAGTGTGGCTCACATTGTCCTTTCTAAGCCTACTGTACTAGTCCCCCTTAAACACCCAGCAGGTCACCATCCAACTCTAGGAATCCCTCTCTATTGCCTGCTCAATTGCAAATTTCTCAGCCTAGTATTTTAGGCCTTCTGCTATCTGCTGTCAACTTTTCTTTTTGATCTTAACTTTAGATTCGTTTCTAACCATACCCCGTGTTCCACTCAAACTGCACCACTCACTGCTTATCAATTCCCTGTCCTTGTTCATGCTGTTCCTGTCTCTTGGAAAGCTGTTTCCACTCCCCAGTGCTGCTACTTTAAATCCTATGGAGACCCCTTTCACTGCTCACTCCAGAAAATGTTTTCTAATCTGTGCTAGCCAATGTTCTGGTTTTCAGCACAAAGGGGCAGAGAAGCATCACCCAAATTTGGAAATAAGGTTAACTTCTGAAATTTTGACTAGTGTAATTCACAGTGTATAGCATCAGCCATGAGCAAATAGAATACACCCAAAGAAAAAGTCAAGAAGCAGATAGTTAAGGAGAAATGAATATATCCTCCTGGAATAGGGTGGGAAGGATGCTCTCTTGGGACACAATTGTGCCTGTGTATTGGAAACCATGAGTTGAACAAACAGGGCCCTAATCAAATCAATTACAGGAAACAGGGAGTCAGCCAAGCTCTAATCCATGGTGATAACTGGCCAAGACGGTGAGATAATCAATTATACTCTGCTCTGGTGTGCTGGAACAGACTGAAGGTAGCCACAGCACTGACCCAAGGAGACACTGAATTTGTAGATGCTGACTTTATGGACAAAGAGTCGACAGCTACATGAAGAAGGCCAATTCAGCCAGCTGCCTCAGATCTGCCTAGCTGCCCCCACAGCCTTGTTCCCTTGGAGAAAATGACAAGTTCTCCAAGCAATCCTTCTGAGAATCACCTTGACTTTCCTTAACATCATCATAAAAGAATATTCTGAACAGAGAAAAGTAAATCTTCATTGCACCTACCTCATGGAGCTGTTGGGAGGATAATGCATGTACACAGAGAATGACTCAAGATCCACATAGCTTTTGATAATGATTTCATTTACATGAGACTTGTATTTAGGTGAATTGACTTTCTGATGTCTATCTAGATGCCCTGATGAATGCTGAGTACCTGGAACTGCAAAACTGAGTCTGTGCTCCTGGGTGGGAATGGGTCGATGGCAGGTTGCCTCAGAAGGACCTGGCAAACATCTACCTGTTTCAGTCATTCCTGGTTCATTCTCAGCTTCTTTGTGCCCCACCAATTCCCTCTTCTAAATGCCCAGTATGTCTTACATAATTTTTACTCTACTTGTAATACAATCATTTGTATGTCTTTCTGTAATTTCAATTTTAACAGTGTTAACTTGGTATAGAGCTTCAAATGTTACAAATCCTTAATGAACTGTATCAAAGGCCATGAAGGGATCTGGGGTTCAAATAAAGGTTCTAACATCTGTCTCCCTGGGCATTATAAGTGGGGTGGAGCCCCTGACAAGTTGCCAACATTACCTCACCCCTGATCAGTGATGGTATGGAACGGCCCACCAGGGAAGAAGAAGCAGATACAGATCAACAGATAGCATGGGTGCCTCAACACTTACCCGGATCTCTGTTTGTACAGTGCATTTGACCAGTTTGAAGTTTTTCCCAGAATTGAAGCTGTTGCTGTAGAAGCAGACTTTCAGGATACGCACGTCTTCCTTTTCTACATCTACTGGTACCACCACCATGGGCTCTGGAGGGCCTTCAGGCCGGCGTAACGTGCCCACCTTTACTCGACTAAGGGGCTCAGACACCCCGGACATCCTCTCAGACGGCAACTAGGACCGGAACATTGCAGTCCTGTAGACAACAGAGTAGACAGTTTGGAAATGAGTCCCTACAGGGCTTCGTGACTCATCCTCCAGGAACTGCACCCACCAAGCTCCAAGACCAAGGTGAAAGCCACATTCCTCCACTCCCAAAACCAGACTTAGGACCATGAAGTTCTCATGACTGGGAGGCTGCTGCACAAAAGAAGCAGGTTGCATAAAGATCCAGGTACAAAATTCAGACTTAGAGCTCACAGGCATGAACGTTCACTCTTCTGGAAGCCTCTTCTCCATTCCATTTCTCTCCACACACTAGCTTCTAGGCAAGGGGCCCACACTTTGCAAACACAGCTGTGGGAGGAGGCGGCACAGCATGGTTCTAAGGCACAGCTGAGTAGAAAAAGCAAAGAGTGAGACAGTAGAAAATAGCAGTAGAGAAACAAGGACACGGGGGAGAGTTAAGAAGAAACAGAATTAGAGAGCGGTTGGCCCTGAGGGGATGGGATCAGAAAAGGCAGGAAAGGGCTTGTTGCGGGGGGTGAGGGGGAGCACAGGGGTTGGTTAGTTATTAGTTGATGGTTTTGTCTGCTTGCTCTCTGGATTGCCAGTGGAAACTTTCAGGGCTATAGGTCTTATTACATAGACAACCACTTACGGTATACAGTAGAGTTCATGAGGATCAACACTGTCCCAGACAGCCCAGAGTGAAGAGTCACTCAGTAGGGTAAGAGCAGGTGGGCTGAGCTCCATAAAGACAGCTCAGTTCTGATGCAGCCTGGTGTGACAACGTACAAGTGGACTTTACACAGTTTCAGGAATCTACAGTTCACCCTGGATCTCAACACAATTGATCCTGGCCTCTGGATCCCTAAAGGGTTTATATTCTGCAAATGTAAAGCACGGAGTGTTCAGAAAGAGGCAGTGGAGATTCTAGCTCTAAACTGGTGGTGGCAACCTTGGATGCACATCAAGATCAGGTAGGGAGATTTCAGAAATAACCCATGTTTTGTCCCTAGAGCTTGAAGTTAGGTTGGACCATGCTAAGACCTGGACATTGATATCTTTTAATTTCCCAGGATTTCCCAAACATTCATTCTGGATTAAGAACCATGGCTCTCAAATGAACCTGACTCTCATCTTGAAACCCATTCTTAACCATCTACTCAGTATATATGCCAATATTCCCATTACTGTGCTATGCTGTTGAAATACATCTGAGTTTCCCCAGACCTTCAACTAGTAATCAAAGTCTTTTGAAAGGTAATTTCAGGGGATGCCAGTAGGAGAGTGAGAAATGTGTGACAGAAAATGTGAGACAGTCAAAGAAGAGTTATCCATTGAATTACCGCTTGGGTAGCTGCAGGTTTTATGTTACTGGGAACTAAGGGAGCTGGGACATTATATATCCACTTAGAGAATGAGGGAACTGGGGTATTTATACACCACTTCTTGAAGTCACTGTTTCCAAAATTTCTATCTTGTTCTGTACAGGAAGAAAGTTCTTAGTCCAAAGATGCAGAATTGGCAGCTAGGAGTTGGAGTAGAATAGTGTAATGGTATGGCCCAAGAGTGTGCCACAGGAATGATGACAGTTCTGCTACAGGACATGAAAATGACAGAGAATGCCTTGTTCTAGTCAGGGAGGCAAACAGGCAAGTACTAAATTTAGCCACATGAATGCCACATATGCAGCTGGTCCCAGCTCCAGGATCTGCTGTGTCTACTGAGCCAGTTGCCTTGTGGCCTCCATGCATCTCATCTAAGTGAGCTAGATTGATGGACATGGGCTTCATGAGGAAGATTTGAAAGAAAAGAAGGAGGAGGAGGAGGAGAAGGAGAAGAAGAAGAAGTAGAAGAAAGAGGAGGAGAAGGAGAAAAGAAAAGAAAAGAAGAGAAGAGAAAAGAATAAAAAAATCTAGCTTTCTGGGGGACAAAGGAAGCAGAGGGGTATTAGTGACTGTCTCCAGAGATAAGATGTCACCTGCAGTGGACTGAATATCTGAGTTGTCCCTAGAATCACTGGTTAAAATCTAAATCTCTACCGTGATAGCATTAGGAAGTCAGAATTTGGAAAGGTCATTGCATCATGAGGGTGGGCTTTTCATTAATGGAATCAGTGCCTTTTGATAAGGGACCCAGGAAAACTCTGTCACCCTCTGTCTGCCACAGAGTGAGAAGTCAGTAGTAGAGAGCTCACATGAGAACCCCACCATGGTGGCTCCTTGACTTGGAATTTTAGCCTTCAGACCATGAAAACTGAAGTTTTGTTGTGTATAACCCATGGGCATTTGCCCAAAAGACCCAGGCCCAGAAAGGTACTGCCCACATACCTCAACACATGGCACTAAAAACGCCAGCCCATAGACACAAGATCTGTAATGAACCTCTAGAACTCTCTATAGCAAGTAACTGAGAGGTGTAAGGATATCTTCAGAGAACATAGCTCTCAATCAACCCATGCAAATCTTTCGCACTCGCTCTGTTCATGTTCTGGTCCCAGTTCATTTTCTGACTGGCTCTAAAAGTTTGTGTAAACATTTAACTTCTTCCAACTTCATTTTCTTTACCCATAAATTAGGAATTGCCTATCCATTCTGTTTTCCTTACAGAATGCATATAAGAATGAGGTGGAAAAATATAAATGAAAAGTCATAAGCAATGGAGCAAGTCACAGATGAACTTCTTGGTCCCTGTGGTGATGATTTAATGATTTTTCTTAAGTCTTGTCTGACTAACTGTATTCTTCATACCTTATATCTTTTTACAAAGGCTCTCTAGAGGGGAAAAAAAAAAGTTGGATCTGCAGCATCTGCCAATTTCTGTAATGTAAATATTTCCATCGGGCTGATGTCAAGCTCTCAAGCACATCCCAGAATGCTGAGTTTGGATTGATAAAAATGACTCTGGATCCAACTCCTGTTTTTAACAAAAGGACTTGTCTGGTTCCTCCATGTTTTGTCTTCTTGCTTTAATTTCTCATCAACAGCCGCACTCCGGTTTTTAAAGACTCACAAAGTTCTCTGTTCTTCAGTTTGTGAGCCCTTTTCTCCATTCCTTTTCCTGGCTCTCTGATACCCCAAGGCTGCTCCTCTTCACAGTTTGCTCTGCCTGGACCCTCTGCTTGATGTGGCAGGATAGTCTGTTCTGAGGCACCAGCAATAGCCCTGGCTCAGAGCCATCTTAATTCCAGCTTGCCTCCAGATCTGCAGGAGTCAGAGTAAAAAAAATAATAACAATAATAACAAACTTGAGGAAATGAGACCAAATTAAAACAGGAAAAGTTTTGATTGGCCATAAGAGCTTCTTGGCTCAATCCTGCAAAAGGTACTAAAGGACAGTGTTCAATCTCAGAGTCCCTGAGAATCTTAGGAATAAAACTAATTGTGCTCTTCCGGAATGGCAAGACATTCACTTGCCTTAAGGAGGGGTCACCAAGCAAGATTGCATTCCCTTCCAGATACCTCATGTTGTCATGGTACCTGGTGCTTGTTCCTGCATGGGTAAGATGCTAGGGTTACAGGAATAAATACTGTAGGCAGGAAAACATGATTCTTACCCTTGAAGGCACTATAAGGTAAAGGTGCACTTACTGAATACATGTTGCATTCCAATCTCTGGTTCAAGAGAAAATGATGATGCCTATAGAAGTTATCACGTCCAGATCACACAATTAGTAAGGTAATAGAGACCAGTGCCACACAAGTCTAACAGCCTAATCCAGACTCTACTATGAGTGCATCTCAGTGGTATATCATGACAACCTTGAAGACCTAAAAAGATCACCCCTCCTTTGTGCTCTGCTCTCACACATGTCCATTGTCTGGCTTGAGCGTGCACAGCAGTGCGTTCCACGGAAATGAGCCTCTCTGGAGATGGCCAAAGCACCAGTTCCTTGGCTCTGCACAAGTCAGAAATCACAAGACACACACTTTGTTTCCACTCTGTCTCTGAGTCACTTCCCCTGACTGTTTCCACATTAACAACATGCGGAATGCATGCCTTTCCTATCATAAAGGACTGCTGGGCACAGCCACTTAACTAATTGGCAATGACCTTGCAATCTCAGGGAGCCATTCCTGTGTTTGTGAACAAGGCAGCACTCCCTCCCTGGTCCGAGCCCTTTCAGCATCCAGTGCCTATGGAGCCAGCCTTCTGCCTGCCCAATCCATCCTTCCTTTAATCTCTTCCCTCCTCTCCAAGCTTCCTTCCCCAGACCTTGTAAAGGAAGGAAACAGAAGGGTTGATTGTCATTAGCTATAATTCACTGCAATTCAAAAAGCATTTGTGGAGACTTAACCGCACGTTGGTTCCTCACCCCCACACCCATTGCCCACCTACAGTGAGCTCTTGCCAGTACCTGCCACCCAGAGAATGGCGGACCTGGGTGGGCCCTCAGGGGGGGTAAGAGGGAAACCCAGGAACACTGTTCACCATCTTTCCTTGTTAAGGGATTCCTGTCTCCCCTCACTAGTTTGAAACCTTTGATCTTCGCAACTAGACAGCTGTTTCTCCTGTTTGCGTTTCCGAGTTTTCACAATTTCACACTCACCTAGATTTGCCAGTTCTTAAACAACTTGACTGGCTTGTTTCCTTATCTTCCTTCCTTTCCCCTTTCTCACTTCTTTCTTATTCCCCTTTCTTCTCCTTCTCCTCCTCCTCTTCCTCCTTCTTCCTCCTCCTCCTCCTTCTTCTCTCTCTCTCTTTCTCTCTCTCCCTATCTCAGGAGCTCTCGGGACTGCATGACATGATGTATATATAGACTGATGCAGAGGATGGCTTGGGTTGTTACCTGAGACTAGAAGGTAGCAATGTGATAAGGAATTTGTACTTCATTCTGTGGAAAAGCAGATTTTCATCTTAAAAGTCTGAATAGGATGGAGCTGAGGGAGCAGTCAGGACTAGGACCTGGGGGTGTGCTAAGCCACTGGCAGACCAGGGCAAGGATGGCTGGATTAGCAGTATTTGCTGATCTCTTGGTTCGAAACATTTGAGAGAGGTGGTCCCTGCACATCACTGTCTATCCAGGCCACA